ATGCAAACATGCATTCTTGTACGATATGAAGCTGTGTTGAACGAGAACCAATTTGTCATGACGAGCCAAACCGTCCACCGGCGGATATTGAGATAAAGTCTAAAGAGTAGGCCAGAATCATGGCAAGGACTAGAGCTAGCACAGACAGAAGATACGATTGCTGAAATACAATRCAAATAATGCATAAGTTTTCTGTTACTTGAGCACTTCATTTAGTTCGTTCGTTTATTCATTTTTCTCATCAACTTTTTAAYACAATTTCATTCTTTTTCGATTTTTCGCGGATTCCAGCGAACGCTCACCATACCTTTTCTTTATCCTGCCAATCAAACTTCCGAACTTCCCCGAATTGCTTCCGAAACTCCTTCCAAAAACCGAAAGAAATATTCGGAGTTCGTTCACTTTTGAGATAGGAAGCGACACTGGTGAAATACGCACTGCGCATGTCCACAGCTTTCCCGCAGAAATCTGCCTAATTTTCTTTATAAAGCGGTTTTTGTGAGTTTTTTACAATTTATAWGCTCGTTCACCGATATATAAGATTCATATTTCCATTAATCATTTTTCATGTTAGATTCTTTTAGTATGTAGTTTCTATTTTTATCTTGTCATTTCTATTTTGAGAAAATGATGTTTTTCGTAGTGCTGTTTTCTGTGTTGTCGCTGTGAATCGCCAGGCGCTCTGTTTACAGATTTCAAGACGCGAGCGCCCACTGGCGGGAAAGCTGTGGGCATGCGCAGTGCGTTTTTCACTAGTGTCATAGGAAGCTAGTCCAGGGAAGTCACGGTTTCAGTTGACGGGAGCAAAAGAACAAAATGGCGGTTTACTAGCGTTCAAACATTGGGAGTTCGTAACATATACAATTGCAACATTTTTTCCTTTACTTACCAATTTGCTAACACGCTCTTTTTCTTGTTCGATATCTTTACGTAATTCCAGTTCTTGACATTTAGTCGACTCTTCAGAAGACTTAAGTTTGTCGCTGACTTCGTTCGCCTGGTTGATAAGAAAAACAAACTTTAAAAATTTTGACTTCTTCGCCAAAACGAAATCAAATTAGAATTTATTATATTATTCAACCTTTCACTTTTACCTTCAGTGAATAAAATAAAAT